CTTTCTTTCCCTTTTCAGAACTAATCGTAAGCTTTGTATGTTAAATTTAAGCTTTATCTTATATAAACAGCATAAAAATTTGGAAATATTACGCAATACTATAGTGGTAAGTAGTGATAATATAAAGGAGTAGTAGTAAGAAATATCAAATTAAGTTTTGGTGTAATGAGAAAAAGCCAAGAAACATCATCCCTTCATTGTTTTATTTCAAAAGCTTCCGGCAAAAAGACAAGAGAGTGCAGTTGATAACCTTTTCCTGTATCTGCTGGCAAAAGGGGACTACTTGCACATCGAAATAGAAAGGAAAATTGTCGAACAATGGTATGAAGATGCCAGCAATTCTCCATGAAAGTTAAGGAATATATTTGTACATGCATTGATGCATAGTCACCAAAATTTTAGCCAAGTTTGAGGCGAAGCTATTTGATGATCTTTCGAATGAGCCAATATGAGGGGTTTCGTGAAAAAATTAAGTAGTATCCGCCTGTCATTTTAAGGGTTTAAGGGGACCGAACACTCAGGAGATATCGCCAATGCGTACAACACCGGGATGGTAAGGAAGAAGTTGGAGAAGGAAGGAAAGTTAAGGAGAGGAAGCGAAGCCTAGTCGATGCATGCTCAATCAGCAAGTGTTTCCGCCCCTAACTGACCGGACACTCACTATACTTACGTAAAAGCAAAGTAAATTCTGCGGCATTTGCGATTGAGATTTAAACGCGAGAACACTGACTTGGTAAGTTTTTGCTTGTGAAAGGCAGCACCTCTCCATAAATTAAAGATGAGCTGAAAGATTTGTGACGAGGATTCCGCTGCACCAGCTTGGAAGACCATAAACATTTGGAATGGCCAAAAACTGTAACCACTGTTGAAACCGTCATTACAGTTCAGTAAATGGTCCTGGCTTGGTACACATTAGAGTCCGGGAACATGTCGAGACAAAGTGTTCTTCACATATTGAATCAAGATTTACCCAAGAGAAGGCTAATCACATTTTAGGTACCCGTTCGCTCACAGTAAAGACACCGCGTCACAAGCGTTTCGCCATATTCACATAATTACGTGGATGGAAGTTCACCTGCCAAGCTTGCCAAACTAAACACCCAACGACTTTTATTCTACAGAGCAAAAGTTTTTACTATATGATGAACTCATTGTGGAAATGAAAGTGCATTTCGCGGGTCGGGTCTTGCCAAACAACATCTTGTACAACATTTGCTGTTAGTGAAACAGAAGTGTAGCTAAAGCAATGAGGTATTGTTGAGTGTACGAGTAAAGCATTTTTGGAAGAGATGGGAAACGAAATGACAACATTATCGCAACATTGCAATTGCTTCAATCTGCTCTCTCCCTCTCTTTCTCTCTATCTCTCTCTCTCTCTCTCTCTCTCTCTTTAATAGTATGAAAATATAAAAATAAATTTATGAAAGTATGTAATAAAGACACACAAGCAATCAGTGCTAGAGAGTATGTTGTGTAAAACGAACAATCTTGTGTCACTCTATTATATTAGGATAGAGATAAAGAGGAAAACACGATAAATTTCCAATCTATTTACTCGGGTCGCAGGCACTTTTACATGTAACACTTCATCATAAACAGGTCAATTAATATAATAATTAAGAATAAGAATAAGTGGGAGGCGCTGGTTTCCTGCTTTATCTTCATTTTAACGGTTATTAATGAAATTAGGTTAATTGAAGTGTCTATGCACAACCACAGCATTAATTTTGTTTTCCCTTAGATTATTGATTACGTTGAAATTTAAACTAATTATCTGCTAATTAACACATAATTCTTTTAAATGATTTTAGAAGAAACTTACAATAAAAAAAGAAAAAGGCAAAGAAAGATAAAGAAATAAATAAATAAAACAAGTAAAATAAGTAAACAACACAATGAAAAGAAAAGTTCACGCATAGAATATATATTCACTTTTTCCGTACTCCGTGATCAACGTTATGTTTCGCCTTGACATTTGATTAGTTGATATGTCCCTATGCAACCGTTATATTCAACAACAATTTTTAAACTACCATACGTTATGCGTTCCGTTTTATTTGTTCACTTCACTGTTAGCTCTGTTAGCTATATTTTCGCCAAAATGCTTTCGCTAATATAATTACCATTCACTAATAAAACGACATTTGACATTTAATAAAAGAGAAAAAAAAAAAATTAAAAAGTAAAGAGGAAAGAGGAAACGTTGCTTTGGTTAAATTTAACTTCGTTTATAAATATTGTTGACTTTTTCCTTCTCTTTTAAAATTCACTATAGTTGCAAAGTAAATGTTCCGTTATTCTTAGAAATTACATTAAAAAGGCAGAAGAAATTCTCTATAAACTCAATTACTTATGATACATAGGCAAAATATAGAATGACATCAATAATCAAGGAAGACAGGATGAAAAAAGATATGAGATAGCTTGGAAAAGGTAAAAAGTTATCTCTCTCTCTGCTTTCTTTACGCATATAGAACTTAACTGATGAAAATTTTAAGAATATATATAAATAAGTCGGCGAATTAAGATCAACTTTATGTTGAACATTTCGACGAATCCAGGAGACGATTTTGTGTACGTTAGAGCCATATGTTATGTGTGTACCAAGCCGACATTCGAACATCGCTTAAGGCCATCTTCTAAGTCCCCTACAGACTAAGCTTTATATATTAGATTCCTATGTTAGTTTCCTATGTGCAACCGCACAAGACAGATGCGAAGACAAATATGGCTAAATTAACGCAACTTCTGTTAATGATACAATGTAATGTGGACGTCTGGATCATTGGAGTACACAGTCTACTCTATAAATGTGACGATCATAAAAGATTTTTCACTTTACTTGACGGACAGTCACTTCTACTTCGTAACATTTCACGTCTGCGTACCGTTCATCATACAAGTGACTTTAAGATTAGAATTACCGCATGGTTCAATTTAAGCCTCTTCAACTTTACAAGTTTCGAAACGTCGTTACAAGCTCCCAATTTTTTGACTTTTGTTTATGTGGGAAGTCCTTTTCTTCTTATATAACAACAATTGTATCCTGCACCAGTTGCTGTACAAGGGTATGTTAAATTTGTTCAGCCCGAGAAGAATTTGGGATAGACTAACATGTTATTACTGCGATCGATTCAGAGCTTAGCCAAGCTAAGCTTATCTATCGGCCAGTCTGTCTTGTATTTTTGTGTTGAGCCTACGGGTTGTCATTTTTGAGTTATTTTGACTAAGGAGTGGCAAGCGCGAACGCTATTTAAAATAGCTCGGATCGGACCACTTTTTTGACCACTTCCTATATAAGGCGTTCTTTTGAAAATTCTAAAAGTGTTGTAGACTATTTAATGGTGAGCCCTGACCCACAATAATACTTTTTTTTTTTTCGGAAAAGTGAATTCTGTCTGCGTGCTCCTCTGAATAAAGAAGAAATCGAGACAAACTCGAAATCCGCTAACAATATTTTTCATATTTTTTTCAGGAAAATATTTCGAGGTGATCGCGTTTTCTTTTGCGTGGACAGGCGCAGATGTAAGCAGATCGCAACCACTCTTCTTCTTCTTTCCAAATCTTTCTTATCTTCATTTTTATCACTGACTTATATCTACCTTTTTTTTGGTAAGAATAGTTAGTTATACGATTTCTTTACCGAAAAAGTTTGTAACTAAATATTGAGACACAGCCTACTATACGTTAGTAAGTCATTAGCGAAAACACGTAGCAATTTTGTTATTCAACTAGAATACAAAGACGAGCTTGTAAGTAAATTATATTATATTTTTGAACCTAATGTGTAGGACCAAAACTGTAGATGCAAAACTTCAACTTATGATAATACCTGCAGAGGCGATAGATAAGTAAATAAAAGGGTTATTTGAGAGTGAGTGGTATTTCATCTCCTTACGAAGTCTATGAATCGTGATCAGCTACATATTTATCTGACTCTGATCAACACGGGCGAACAAGTTTATTTCGATGGATAATAAAATCCTACAGAATTCTTTGAGAGAAGTTTTTTTTGCTTTTTTAGTGTCATCCTAGAGTAATACAATTGAAATCCTATGTAAAATTTGCAAAGAGATCTGTAGGTAGTTGCGACTCACTCAGACTTCAATTTGATTTTCATTCTAAACTTAAATGCAACTCTAATCGCTACAGAAATAGAAGAAGAATGGAGTTCAATATACGATAGATTTTCAGTTTCAGAGTTGCGCATGAAATTATTTCAATTTTCTCCCCCCCATCGACATCAGGTGTGTAAGGTTTGTCATTTCTAACCATCTCTTCCATTAATTCAAAATAGTAAAAGGCAGATATAGTTTAAATTTTGCGACTAAAAAATACCTACAGAAGACTGGATCGATTAAGAATCTAAAGTTAGTCAATAATACATCTATATATATAACATAAGTAGGGAGAGTAGAGAGATAAGTGCTATAATAAAATGCGAGTTTGTATCTAGAAAACAAGAGTTTGAAAAAGAAAGAAACATAGCTAGATAGATAAGATACCTTAACTCTATTCGCTTCTCTTCTTCTTGATAATAAATACACCACATATATATTATAATTGTTGACAATGGAGGGTAACTTGACTGTTACCTAATTTTTTCTTTTTAAACTGGATTTGTGGGAAAAATGCCTGCATATATCAAAGCCGCATTAAATCGATATGGAATTAGTTTGTTATATCGTATATCTAATGTACATTTTTAGACATTATAAATGAAGCTCAATGCATCCTTATCGTAAGCCTCAGTAAACATGTAATTGTATGAACTAAACCGACCATAACGCACACAATGTACAAAAAGCAATAAGAAAATTTATTAACCTATAATATGGCCACCATCGTTTTCCTTATTTGCTTTATTTTATTACGTAAATTTAATAGGAGGGTTTTTTTATAGAGAACGTAAATGCATAACAATGAGATTTTATATGACGTCAATGACGCAAATAATTTGTATTTAATATAATGTATTTTTGTAGTCCTGTAAAACTTACCTTCGTCGTCCTCCTCTTCCTCTAACGAGTCGCCGCCTTTAGCCTCTTCACCATTGCCCTCTTGGGTTCCCGCAGCAAGTTTACGATCTGCTTGAAGTTTTGTAAAATAATCAACGGCAAAATCGACAACATCAGCCGGTTGCTCCAACAAGAAGGAAATTGAAAATTCCAACAAAACTTCTCGCAACTCATCGGGCACCTGAATGCGTTTGTTTTCGTTTGGCATAGCGTCTGATGGGGATCTGAAAATAAAAAGTTTATTTACAACTAATTTTTTTTTTTTTTTTTTTTTCTTTTTAACACATTTTATCCATGTAACACACTTTTTCCCCCTTCAAGTAAGATGTCGAATATCTTTTTAAAAACATAGAAAGAAGGAATTGAAATGATATCAATGGACGAAACAAGTACGAATGGTGATCGAATTTAAGAAAAGCATTCGCGATTTGAAAAAGTCACGCTCGCAAAAGCGAAACATTTCAAGTTAACCTAAAATTGAACGAGAATTCATTCGCAGACAATCTGTACATGGTTTGTGAAGAACGGAGATTACTTTCGAAGCATACAGGAAACTATATAAAAAGCTGAAATATCCTGGGTGCGTGATTAATCAATGATCTTTCTCTGCTTATTCTTGGAGTTAATTGATAAGTCAATGTCAACAAACGTATCACTTCCTTATGAGAAAACTAGAACATCGCCGGAACAAGTTAGTGACGTGGAATCTCCTTGACCAACTATTGGACTTAATCCCCAAGGACTAAAGGTAGGCGGAATAGGTAGATGCGAGTGTGGGAAATCGCTGGAACAATGTCCATTGACTCATTCCGCCATTCCGCTTTTCTGCCTAATTATCGATTGTTTCTCGCTCAAGTAAACAATAAAATGTTTGGCAAGCACTACAAGATTCCTTCTGGGATAAATATAATTTTCTTCTTCTTAACTTTTGTCGAGATGGACCTGAAAACCTATGAGTTGCGTGTTTGTTCTTTTATGTTGAACTAGACTCATCAAGTTGCATAAAACTCACTTTGACAAACGTTTCGGGAAAAGCTACATAATGAATATCAACTAAACTGATCTGTTGGCTGAGCTGAATTCAAATCTACTTTTTACAAAGGAATAGTTTTACAACAAGTTAAAACGTATCTGTCGAGCGAAGTCGATCGTACACAAATTTGAAAACAAAAAAGTTTCGTCAAACAAAAATTCGGTATTAAAGAAGTCCATGGGGAAAGGAACCCCAAAAAATAAGTCAATAAAACGTATCAATGCCCCAAATTTCAAATTGTACTCAAATCGTTCAACTGTAAGTTGAACGCGAAAATGAATGGGAAAATATGTAGATAGTAATTCTGAAAACGATCTTGAATCGATTGTTATAATAAAACGCAAATCTATCTGAAATCATTCTGTACGTCTTACATATATCCAAACAAACTTAGTACACCCTCCACTGCAAGTAACGGGTGTAGGGTGTAATTGGGGCAACTGTTCTTTACGCAAAATCTTTACGCAAAATGAATCTTTTGTTACATTCGCTTGGGTAGTGATTTTTCTATCATAATGACATGACATGACTATGCTTTTCGGAGACTAAATTAAATATCAAAGTCAAACATCATAAATCACAAAGAGTAATAATGAAAATTTTGCAAAAAACACACAAATAAACACAAACACATATATATTCTAAAATCTGTAGTATATTTCTAAGCACTTATAAAAGCGGTTAAAACTCATTTATCATCCAAGATATGCGTACCACAATCTATTCATACCCATATAAGCACTTATTTCTAATATAAAGATAAGAAATATTTGAACATTTTTAGAATATCACGCTTTCGCATCAGAATTTACAAAATTAAATCAGGGTGAAAAGATTTAATATAAATCGCAACACAAGCAATTATATAAACAATTTATTATATCTATATATATACATACACACATACACAAATATATATATATATATATATATATAGCATAAAAACAAATCGCTTGGTAGTATGATTAATAGTTGGCAAACAGGCAGACAGTTAGGAAGAGAGATTTATCACTAATCACCCATTACAACACACATTTCGTGTTAATGAGTTCTCTCTCTAAGATTTTTTTTTTGTTGTTGTTGTTGTCGTTATTTTCAAAAAACATTTCATTAGACTCACTTGTTATTGAAAAAAAAAAAGAAAAAAAAAAAAAAACAAAAAGAGAGAAATCTCATAGTTAGTCAGTTGTCACAGTCGTCACGTGACTGCATTAAACATTGTTAAAGCTTTGCAAAAAAAAAAAAAAAAAAAATCATTTGTTTGTAATATGAAAGCATTGATTAATGAGTTCGTCATTGTGTGCGAGAGCAAGGTTTGTTTATTTGCTCTTTTTTTTTTTTTTTTTTTTTTTGCATTTCTCTTTTCAAGTCAAAGGGAAAGAGCTAGACGGAGGAGGAGATTAGCTTCTATCGAAAACGAACATTTTGATACCCATCATTTGTGAGATGTATGCTCCGCTTGAGGATGGTAGCTCCTAGCAACTTTTCAATATATAGGAGGATAAGCTGGGAGAGAGAGAGAGACTCTGTTTTAATTTTTGTGCGTGTGTTTCTTTAATATTTTTTTCACTCCTCCGTTATCTTTAAAGCTGAAGGCATTTTTAGTCATTTCTCTGATTTCAACTAAGAAAATCGCATTTTTCCAATGAAAAAAAAAAAAAAAAGTCGAAATTAATTGCAATCAAAACGTGATTTCAATGAAATCGCCTTGAAATCTACTGCATAGAGTTCATCTCTCTATTACTTGTCCCATCAGAAGTTCAATTAAATTTGGCAGCATTGGAAATTATATGCTACTACATACATATATATATTTCCATTGAAGTTTAGTGAATATTGAGATTAGCAGTAAGCGCTTATCGAAGATGATGGCCGGACTAAAAGGCAAAAACATTGAAGAATCAATAAAAATTGGCCGTAAGAAGCCATCTCATCAATGGCGATATGTGGGAGCGTGGCAACAGTTGATGCAGCTTCAGCGGCGATAGAGCAACCAGAGCAAAAAAAAAAGGGAACCAGAGAAAGAAGAAAAAAACCAGAAGACGTACGTAGACAGGAATAGAAGAAAATGTGGCTTAGAGATGATGAGCAGGCAGGTATGAAAGCACACACTACTGCGTACCGGACAGACAGATAGACAAATTTAAATTGAAAGAGTAAGTGATTTCCAATCGATCGGTATAGTAGAATCCTTCTGAGTCTTGTATACATCCATGCAAACCTAATATAATCTTATTTTACAAACGCTCTAAAGCATAAAGAATCAAAATGTGTAGAGAAAAAGTGCCCCAAGTTGAAGTTAAGCCCTTCTTTAAATGGATTTGTGCTGACGTAAGTTATGCTGCTTTCGCAGCCCTATACCAGATATTAATTTCATATTTTATTGGTTAACCTAGAATCAGATATTTATCCTCAACTAAATATTGCAAGTCCTAGAAGAAATGCAGAGGAAATGTCAATTCTAAACTATATATTAGATAGTACAAATTAATTCGGTGCATCTCTGACTGTTATGGATATTTCATAGTCACAGCGGGTTTCCTTGCTTTCAGAGATGTCAGAGAGCTCTCATAAATATTGAGTTTATATCGTCTCGAGTATGATACAAAAAAAAACAGTTCTCCACTATGTTGAATAATTTAAATTTTGTATTAACTAAGCAATGGATTCTCGAGCAAAGTCATTAACAGCATCAGCAGACAGTTAGGCCCTTTGCTTGCTTGATAAAATTTGAAATACGCTTAATGAGTTGCTTGATAAAAGAAGGAATAGAAGGAACAGGAGGAGAGATCAAAATAATAATAAAAAGTTTTGAAATTTTTTCTTTTTCCCCCCCCCAATCCAACAAGTTTAACTTTTAATTGTTTTCGTGTTTGCACAAAGGAAATCGATGTCTTACTATTATGAGCTCATTAACCTTCGCATTCCGGTGTCATTGCAAACAGATTATGCATAAGTTACGTTAACAATACTCTTCACGCTCGACTTTCATTCATCGTGGCCGACTCTTAAGCTTCAAATCTTCAAAGCCAAAGCTAATAACTTTTACTTGAAACAATTCCTAAACAAGCTTTTGGGCGTCAAACAAAAAAAATGAATCCTTAGAAGTAAATCCCAGATCTCAATCTATAACGTCGTCTAGTAACTTCTCGTAGACAATGGACTTTAATTTTAGATTCGTTGCAAATATTTGCTTAAATTACCTCAAAGTACCCAATAAAACGGTACGTTCCTATCTAACAAAAGACTATACTTAAAGTTGTCGACATCGAAGATTTGCCTTAAGGCCAACTTCTGCTTGTTACCTCATGTTAATATTAACATTTTATAAAACAATTGAGAGAAATTTTATAAAATTTTCTTATTCTTTTCATCTCACATACCCATAACTAATTAGATTAATTTAACTTATCATCTTTGTAATTACAAGATGTATAACATAAATAAGTCATTTTTTGTTGGGGACATTGCAAGCCGTAGCTCAAACTTAATATATCGAGCGTTGGCGACTATAAAAACGTAAAGAACAAAATGTTAAATTAGTTACATTAAATGCTTATTCAAACACACATACACAAACACGCACGCATACATACGCACAAAACGCTATGTTTTTATTACGTAAACGCGAGTTGCCTAGTGCCATAGTTATTGTTATATTTATTGTTGTTGTTGTTGTTGTTTTTTGTTATTATTGTTTTATGTAATTTTCTAGGCTTTTTAATATGCAGCAATAGCAACATCAGACTAAAGTTTAATCTTAACACACAACCCCACTAAATGTCTGTCATCAGCAGAGGTATCGTGACAAACGTACTTCATCCATCCATATAGAACACATAGAGGCGTTCACGACTGAGTGTATGTATTCTGAATGCCTGAGTAGGTAGATATTGACTTGAATTGTTTCGCATGTATGCTAGAGTCACTTGTTGTCACAATTGTCATTGTGCATCATAAGCGTACACATCAATAAACTCATGCTCGAGAACTGAATTACATATAAAACAAAATATGCGTATATTGCACGGTTTTATTTTCATTGTTAGTTTTTTTTTTTTTTTTTTTAATGAAAACAAAAGCAGATATCGATATTTTAAATGCGAAACATGTTGTAGAGAGGAAGAAGCAAAACGAATTAAGAACGAATTTTGAATGCTTGTAAATCTAAAATTTAAGGCAAATTTTTTT